AAAATTAAATTCAAAGAAAGCAAAATCAGCTGTTTCAAATACTACTGCTAGGTCAAAAATTGAGAATTGACCACTGGATTCAGAAAAATGGGTATCATTGGTGAATTTAACAACAGTTTGATGGGAGTGTTAGAAACAAAACTCTGATTAGAACAGGATCAAAAGAGGGGTGCCTGAGTGGCTCAGTTGGTTAAATTTCTGACTCTTGACATCGGCTCAAGTCATGATTTCATGGTTTGTGAGTTTGAGCTCCACACAGGGCTCTGCGCTGTCAGCCCAGATTTCTCTTTTGGGATCTCTGTATCTCTCTCTGCCCTTCCCCAACTCGTGTGCACATGCTCTCTCTCTCTCTCTCAAAAATAAATAAATTTTAAAAAAAGAATAGGTTCAAAGGAGAATATGAAGAGAGGCATTTGGGATAAAAATAGGAAATTATCCTTGCAGGGGCTTTTATCTAAGGATGAACAGGAATAAGATAATGTGCAGGAAAATGTAGGTCAAGAAATTTTGTTTACTGAAATGTTATAGCATATATGTATGCTGGTAGGAAGATCTATTGAAGAAGTAAAAACTGTTAATGAGAAAAATGAGAACTTAGCCAGAGGCCAAAGTGTTAACCTTGAGTAGAGAAAAGAGCATGATATCTTGTGCCCAAATCAGTGTGAGATTAAAGTACAGACAGTCCACCCATGTAATGGAGGAAAGGGTAGAAGTGAAGTAAGATGATAGATGTGTTGGTGGTAGCTTATAGAAATTCTTTTCAAGATAATGGAAGCCCTTTCTTCACTGATCGAGACAGGATCAAGGGAACAGAAGTGAGTGCCTCAGTAGGATGCAGAACAACATCAATAGGTGAGAGGAATTAAAAAGCAAAGAAACTACCACAGGAAAGGATAATTTGTGTGAATATTAAGATAAGCATGAAATGGGGCGCCTGAGTGGCTCAGTTGGTTAAATGTCCGACTCTTGATTTTGGCTCAGGTCATGGGATAGAGCCCTGTGTTGGGCTCCATGCTCAGCATGGAGCCTGCTTAAGATTCTCTCTCTATGCCCCTCTCCCCTGCTCATATACTCTCTCTCTAAAAAAAAAAAGTGAAGTAAAACACAAAATTATTTCAAAAATAAAATAAAATAAAATAAAATAAAATAAAATAAAATAAAATAAAATAAAACAAAACAGTGTGAATTATGACAAGAACTATTGAAGAAAATGACAATGTTCCAGGGTGGAAAATGTTCAAGAAATGAAGGTCAGTGACCTAGAGGTCAGTAGACAAGTGCAACAGCAAGGGAGGTGGGGAGGGCAGTAGAGTCAGCAGACATGATCTTCAAAGCAGGGTATTTTTATAAAAGAAGAAAGAATGGAGGTTAGAAGAGCAAGGAGATGTGAGGAGGCTACCTACCCCACCACCAGGACCAGGGAGATAAAGGGAATGGGAGAGAATGCAAATGCCATTTTAGAGAATTAATGGGAAAGCACAATGGAAAATTAGAAAATACAATATGCTTAGAAAGTACAATATGTTGCTGATGATATTCTCCAAAACTGGCTGCTGCCTTTTCTTTCTCCACAATGCTGCACTGTCACCTTTCTAAAAATACCTGATTGTGATGCTTTTCTGCTTAACATTCATCAACAGGTCACAGTAGTTTCAGGTTTCTATAGAACTAGTGTGCTCTAGGACTCTGTAGCCACATCTCCCACCTGTCTCCCATATGCATTCTTCACATCTATAGGCCATTGGCAATGATAACACAGGTAACACAGGGCTTTGTTGGTTGGTTGCATTTTGTTTTTAGTTTTGTTTTGTTTTGTTTTTGGTACTAATTTCAATCACTGAATCACTTATGCTATATAATATTCAGGTTTCTCACTTCTAGAATAGAGTAATTAATTTCAGAGTTTTTTGTTTTGTTTTTGTTTTAACCTGGGAGACCATTACCTTTTGAAGAACTAAACAGAAAAGAAACATTCTTCATAATGTGAGAACCTCCTGGGTATTGCAGCACATTTAGGATAAGTGGCCTTGCCCATTAATTGCCAGTTGTATCTTCTGAGACAACCAAAAATGTGCCCACACATTTTCTAGACACCTCATACTGTAGGGTAGCAAGTAAAATGCAGGCCACCCAGTTAAATTTGAATTTGAGATAAACATATCTCTTTTTAGAATAAGTATGTTGCAAATATTGCATGGACATCCTCTGGTTTTGTTTGCTATATCTGCCAGCCCTACATATGGGGAACACTGCTAAGTAGGATTATACTTAGAGTCCATGTAAAAAATGGCACCTGTAATGTTGCTCAGTATACAACCTATACAACTAAATGTAGCTACACTGCTTGGGGATCAATACAAACCCAACTGAGAACATTGATCTAAGTCATCAGTAAGAACAACTTTAGTACTGACATTTCTATAACTCATACTCTATAGTGGTGCAGTGTGCTAAAAAGCAGTGGGAGGCATGCACGTGAGTAAAGCCAAGTCTCAGAAAATTTCAAAATTAATTATTTTAAGATCCAACAACATTACTTTTCCTCCCCTCTTCATATCTTTTATTGATTTCTCCCTCCATTGACACGGAGTCATGTTTCTCCTCAAGAATGAAAACACTCTTGTTACAATAAGGAATTAGTATTTAGTATGTCACCCACACCCGGAATTACAAATGAGGATTTCAAGGATATGACAGTGTAAACACAAGGGAATAATTGGCTAGTGGTGACATTTCAGACACTAATTGGGAAGATATTCTGCCTACTGTTGAAGTTTAATAACCATTGGGTGGTGAGGCCAAAATGTCACCAGAAAAGAATAATTGACTAGCTGTCAAAAGGCCCAAGAAGGTCAAATTTTCTTCAACAAATTCTACACAGTCTGAAGTTTGACTTTAAGCTTAAAAAACAAAACAAAACAAAACAAAAAAACAAAAAACTTGATTTGGTCAGCATCCTGAATATGGATACATTTCTTGTGTATAGATTCTTATTAAGCAAGTTCACAAGAGATTAATACATAGAGATCAAAATTTGGTAGTTAACTAATTTACACTGATGCATAAAACTGCTACATAGATAACAATATATGCATTGGAAAACCAATGTATTCTTTATGTAAAAACAGATCTCAGTTCTGGTTAATAAATATTTATTAAGCAAAAATACTCTATTAGATATGAGTGAATAAATGATAATCCCTCCTCTTGATATCCTATCGACGAGGCTAAAAGAGTAGAAAAGAAAGCGCATGAAAAACCTTGGGCAAATGGGTGGATAAGTGTGGAAAGGATGGATAACGACAAAGTGTGTAGGAAGACAAAGAGGTGAGAGAGCTGACACACTTGAGGAAAGAAATATAATTCAGTGTAGTTAAGCATGAAGTCCTAGAGAGAAATGGTGAGAGATAAAGGGGGGAAATGAGCAATATCCCAAGCAAGAAAGGTCTTACAAGCCTTGTGAAGCAGTTGGCCTGTTTCATAAAAGCAATAAGGAGCCACTGCTGGGTTTTAAGCAGTTAACTGTTAGATATTTATTTTGAAAGATCAGTTTGACTATGAAGTGGAAAACAGATTGGATTAAAGAGTAGCAAAGTAAGAGTTGGGAATCCCTGCTGTAATTTAGGTGAGAAGTGAGGATGTTGGAACTCAGAAGCATACCTGGAAAGAAGAAATGGGTAGTTGAGATATTTAGGAATTCAGTAGGGGACTTAGCAATAAATATTATGTGTGGAGTAAGGAACAATGGAGAGTCTAAAAAATACACTCTATTTTGAGCCTGGACATAGGAAGAAGTAGCAAATTGAAGGCAAAGAAAATGCAGTTATTGGTGCACTTTTTGGTTGTAATTGTCTTTAGAAAAGTCAAGGAAGCCAACAAATAGGTGTTTTGATATAGAGGGCTGAGGCTCAGGAGACAGATCTGGGATAAAGGTTTAGATTGGTGCATCATTGTAGAAGCTGCCAAAAGGGATAACATCACCCAGAAAGAATGTGTCAGGAATGAGAGAGATGGCCTGGAAGTGAACAACACTAGAACTTAAATTATAACCAAAAGGAAAAGGAGCCTGAAAAAAAAAGTCCAAAAAGAGATGACGGGACAAATGGAAGCAAAACTGAGACAACCTAGTATCATAAAAACAAATGATAGAGAGTTTTTCACTAGAAATAGAGTAGCTATATAACATCCAAGAAAATCCCCATCAGATTTGGTGGGGTGGGGTGGGCGGGAGACAAGAAAAAAGAAAAAGTTGTTAGAGATGATGTTATAAGCATTTTTGGAGAATGATTAGTGGGGGGAATCCTGAGTGCTGTAGACCATAGAATAGAAATTGAAGAAGTGAAACCAGTATGAATGTTGGTAGCTCTTCCCATAGGTTTGTGTCAAGGAAGGGAGGGGGCAGAAATAACAGGATTCCAAAGGGGCATTAGTGACAGGGTATTATTTACGTGTGAGTATACTTTGTGTGGTTTGACTCTTCTGTTTGCTAGTTGTTAAAATGGAGAGACTACTTTATGCTGATGAGAAAGAAAGGAAGAAGGTAAAGTTACTAACGTATAGATTGAGATATTCCACAAGGTTCCTAAGGAGGAAGAAATAGAATCTAGGACATAGATGAAGGGATCAGCATTGGGTGCTGTCTTGCTTACCTAGGGCTGCTATTACAAAGTACCACAAGCTGGATGATTTAAAGAACAGAAATATGTTGTCTCTTGTTTTTGGAATATGAAAGTCTAAAGTCAAGGTGTCAACAAGGTTGTTTCCTTCTGATGGCTGTGAGGGAAGAATCTATTCCAGGCCTCTCTTCTTGACTTATAAAAGGCTATCTTCTGCCTATGTCTCCTCACATTGTCATTCCTACATAAATACCTGTGTCTAAACTTCCCCTTTTTATAAGAACACCAGTCATATTAAATTAGGGGTCTATCCTCTACTAGTGAATGGAAGCAATAAATAAGTAACATATGAAGAAATATTATATTTTCTTTTTTTTTTTTCAGAGTGATTGCGTGCTTAGTTTTTTCCTCTCTGAGCCTGTGCAACAAACAATTGAAGAACAATCATTTGTGGATCTAGGCAAGTAGTTTTATCATTATTACTATGTACAATTTTTGAGTTTCAATATAATTGTGCATAAAAATCACAACTACATATTTTTTTCAGCTTTCAAATTAAAATCTTTTTAAAGAATAAGCTTTAAGGGTATTTTCTATTTCCAAAGCTTTTTAACCCCTTAAAATATGTTCAAGTTAAATTAAACCAAGATGTGTTTGTCCATTTATGATAACTACATGATGTCACACTATTAACTCATTTCAATTAATTGTGCTTCGAGGTGGAATTGCATTTCAGAGACAGAGTTCTTGTTTTCCCCTGCAGGTAAGTTTTCCAGATTACTCAACATCTTAGGAAGAAACAAAAGTAAATATTAGGCAATAACAATGATTATGAATTATCTAGCCATTTCACTCTTATCCTTTAAAGCTCAGTAATTACTCTACCTCATGAAGTCTTCTTTTATTACCTGGATCCCAAACTATCCCAGCACAATTATCTACCCTATTTTCCACCAAATGTGTGTTAATCCTAATGAACTTTTCTAGCATATCTCCTAGACTGGCAGGAACTCTCTTTGAATGTCCCATTAATTTTAAGTGTCCATAATATAATTCCATTGCCAGTAACTATCAAATACTGATACTGGTTTTTATTTCACAAAGATTTGCAAGCCCATAATTTGCTAGGCCTCACCCTCCTTTCCTTCACAGCTCTTTGTTTTTATTTTATCCGTATCCTCCTTGTGATTCTTTGCCTTTAAGATTAGACCCATCAGCTTCTCACCTCTGCTCGTATCTAACATTGTAGTTACTTACACTTAAGTGCAGAGGTCTATACAACCAGATCAAGCTGAATAGTGTAATTGCTTATTAAGTTGTATATTTATGTGTGTGTCAGCCTACTTCTTCTGTTAGACTGAAGTAACTTTAAACTGAGGACTCACTTCCCCACTATGCACTGCTCTGTTGTCACAAGCTCCAAATTTGACATCACTCTCTGACACTTTGCTTATATAGACAAACCATAAACATTATTAAGTAAATATAGTTAATAGAACAAACCATAAATATTTTTAAGTAAATATAAGGTAATTTCTTATAATTAATCGCATGTATCTAAAGAATGACATCCCCCCCCAAAAAATATTTCCTTTTTTTCTTGACATGATACACAAATATCTAACAATTACCTTCTTTTCAAAAATATTGTTAGCTGGGGATAACTTTTACCATTAGTATTTATAAACTTGAACTAACGAGATTTAAAAAAAAGCATAAGGTTGCTGATTTCTATAGTTGTCAGACTTTTTAAAGAGTAATAGCTTGATCTCTATTCTGTCATAAAAGTCCTTAAGGGAAATTGTTTCTCTATGTATCAAAAAATTAAACTGTGGATCACTATCAAATTTGTAGTTTTGCTGAGGTATTATTTCTCTATATGATGTTTGAAATACATAAGCACACAAAAAATTAGGATTATTGTAAAAAATAAAATGGTGGTTTGATTTTTTTCTCATTGCTAATTTCTTACTACATCATACAATACTCAAGACTTGTTTTGGCAGAGTGGTGATAGACAAAAGATTTGATTCTCAATATTTGACTGCATATGAAAGACAGCCTATTGTTTCAAAACAACAAAACACAAGGGTGGCTAGGTGGCCCAGTTGGTTAAGCATCTGACTTGGGCTCAGGTCATGATCTCACAGCTCATGGGTTCAAGCCCTGCGTCAGGCTCTGTGCTAACAGCTCAGAGCCTGGAGCCTACTTTGGATTCTGTGTCTCTCTCTCTGCTGTCCCCCACTCATGCTCTGTCTCCCTCTCTCAAAAATAAATAAACATTAAAAATTTTTTTCAATAAAAATAAAAAAGGAATTTGTCTTTTTTTTTAACATTTATTTATTTTTGAGACAGAAAGAGACAGAGCATGAACGGGGGAGGGCCAGAGAGAGAGGGAGACACAGAATCTGAAGCAGGCTCCAGGCTCTGAGCTGTCAGCACAGAGCCCGATGCGGGGCTGGAACTCACAGAGCACGAGATCATGACCTGAGCTGAAGTCGGACGCTTAACCCACTGAGCCACCCAGGCGCCCCAGAATTTGTCTTTTTTTTAAATGTTTATTTATTTTGAGAGAGAGAGAGAGAGAAAGAGCATGGGAGAGGGGCAAAGAGAGAGAGAGAGAGACAGAGAGAGAGAGAGAGAGAGAGAGAATCCCAAGTAGGCTCCACACTGTCAGTACAGGGCTGGACACAGAGCTCAAACTCAACAAACCATGAAGTCATGACCTGAACCAAAATCAAAAGCCCCATGCTTAACCAACTGAGCCACCCAGGCGCCCCAAGAATTTGTCTTTTAAAGTGCCAATCCAATCAATACTCTTTTCTACTTCACACTTTTGCTTGGCTTCCCATTGATCTTAGGCAGGGCCAAGTTCATGGGTTTGTGACTTGTGCAGTCACACTAGGCACAGTGCTTAGAAAAGTCCTGCACTTGGTTTAATACTCTACTGTCACTATTTCAAAATTCTTAATAATTTTTGTAAAAGGGACCCTGCATTTTCACTTTGCATTTTCATTATCACTGAGTCTCACAAATTATATAGTTGCCCCTGCCCTTAGGGTAAAGACCAAAATTCTCATGATGGCATCCCAGCAAAATCTGGCATCCTCCAGTTTCCTTTTCTAGTGCTAATATCAGACCCTTCCCTATCTTGATTCTTTTTCCAGTTCCTCAACTAAGACAAGCACACCAGCACGTAACAGATGGACCTTTCTCTGCCTGGACCACTTGACTTTTTGTCAGACTTTTTCTGACAAAAAAGACTTTTTTTTTGTCAGACTTTTTCTGACTTTTTCTACCTTCTCCACCATTTTTTTTTTTTTGCATCCTTCATATCTCATCTCAATTGTCTTTGCTCTTTACTCCTAAAATGCTTTTTTTCCCCAAAAATTATTGCAGTGGTGATTATGGCTTTGTGTGCTTCTTTGTAGACTAGAAATTCATGAAGACATGATCCATGTCTATATTGCTCACAATGTAACCACAGGCCTTAGCACAGGGTCTGGTCTACTATAGATTCACTCTCCATAAATAATTACTGAATAAATTATTGTTGACAGAAAGAACAATGTATGACACATTTATATTCTCTACCAAGGTAGCTTGTCATTTTTATTAAAGGGACAAAGAGAAGAAAACTAAAATCCCAAATCATGCCACTTCTCCCACACTTCCCACTTCCCATGGCAGTGCCCAGGCACAAGAACTTCACTGCTTCCCAACCACTAGAATTCTCTTGAAGTAGCACCTAGAAAAGAAATCTTCTGCAAATTACATTAAATATGGACTCAACCAGACTCACCCAAAGCACTACCCAGAAAGTTGCTGCATTTTATCTTGTATACTCTTTAACTCTCTAATAGCATGATCCTCTATATTCCCCAAATTAATAGAGGTCCCATGCAAAATAGTACCTCCACAAAAATATAAATCTATCCATCCTCTACCAGTATACAACACTGACATGAAGAAGATAGATTTTATTGTCAAGGTATAGTGACAATAACATAGGTAATGGAGTAGAACATGATCAAAGACAACAGTTGTCAGAGTTAAGAGGATGAATTAATAAACATGTTTATATGCCATTGATAATAACAAATGGTTGCAAACAGGAGTTTTCAATCATTACCTCACATTACCAACCTCCAGTTGGAGATGCTATTAATTTAAAAGGGAACTGAAGCCACTGTCTCCATGGCAGGGTCTCTCTGGTTAATATTATCGCTACTTACTCTAGCAGAACTCAGTCAATTATCTATACATTGAAGTATGTTACCCAGGTTTTCAATGTAACTTTTAATGAGATGGAAGGACAAGAAAGGGAGAGCTGGGGCTACTTAGAAATAAATATTTATATTAGGTTGTTTTTGAAAGTTGAAATCTTTAAATTTTACGCATTTGCTATATTATATCATAAAATACCATGTTTCCAATTAGAAAATTATCTTAGGCTTTTTTTGTGGCTAATGTGGGCAAGAAAAGATAAAAGAAGATGAGAGTTAGAAGACTTTTTCTAATTATTTTATTTCTAAAAGCTGAGTATCAACAGATATCGCTAAAACCTAACAAATTACGTGATAAAAATAATTGTAGCATATGTAATATTAGTGTTAGGGAAACACTGAGAAAGATTATAACATTGAATATAATTAGGTGGTAGATGAAAGTCAAGTGCAAAATTTTATACACATTAATTTTATCTCTGTCTCTATTAGGAAACAAATATTGTCAAAAAAAAAATAAAAGTCTAAGAATACTAAATAAAAGTAACCACTATAACAAAAGTAAAAGTTTTCTAAGTATTACAAGTACATAAAAATAAAAACAAATTACATAGCCAAAGATTTTCTTTAAAAATTATAGGGGCGCCTGGGTGGCGCAGTCGGTTAAGCGTCCGACTTCAGCCAAGTCACGATCTCGCGGTCCGTGAGTTCGAGCCCCGCGTCGGGCTCTGGGCTGATGGCTCAGAGTCTGGAGCCTGTTTCCGATTCTATGTCTCCCTCTCTCTCTGCCCCTCCCCCGTTCATGCTCTGTCTCTCTCTGTCCCAAAAATAAATAAAAACGTTGAAAAAAAAATTTAAAAAAAAAAAATAAAAATTATAAAAACAAAAATGTTATATTTCTTTAATAACATAAAACAGTAACAGAAAATGAATCTATTGTATCAATAAGTAGAAATGGGCTTAAACTCATCTATAAGAAAAAATTTCCAGTTGGAGTAAAAGTATAAATCATAACTCTATACTTTATGTAAAAACACACCTAAGAGAAAATGATTTTTAAAAATTAAAAATTAAACTCCAAGCACAGGTACATTAGGACATGGAGACCAGAGCCATGATGTTAATAAAGAAAAGGTGGCATTTAAGACAAGAAGCATTGAATTAAACAAGAATACAACTTTTAAACTATCATAAGTACAATTCTCAATAACGATATGAGTGGTTATGACTACAT